GGGAGCGGTAGAAACTGTAAACCAAACGGGAAAGATGGCGGCCCAGCAGAGAAAGTTTAAGACGAAACCGGGTGGGCAGAGCCCGAGGCTGGAAGAGGGAACAGATGTCCTCAAACTCCCGGCGGATATGCTTAAGCCGGTGATGGAACAACTCGATGGTGTTAACCAGCAATTGACTGTGATGAATAAAAATTATGCTGCGCAGCAGCTCCAGCTGAATGAAACAGAGAATAAAGTGGAGCAGGCGAACGAGAAAATTAAAGAGATAGACACCACAAGCAAGAAGTTGAAGAAAAGGATGGGAGAGGTGGAAACGAGGCAGAATTGCCAAGAGAACAGAGTTTTACAGATACAGATGGAAAAAGCTAACATGGTTCTCAGGTTTCAGGGGCTTCCTGAAACAGATTGGGAATATTTGAAGAAGGTGCTCAGTGAACTTATCGCTCCAGTAGTAGGCTTAACAGCGGATGAACTTGTAAACGAAATGGAAGTAGCCTATAGGGCATACTCCAACTACGTTAAAAAAAATAGTCTACCTGGAGAAATAGTGGTCTAGTTTGTAAGAAGACAAACTAGGGACACCATTTTAAAAGCAACTTCAGCAACTCCACTGAAAATGGGAAATGTAATAACGATAGAAGAGAGAAGATAGACTCCACTTTTAAAGCTAAAGAATTTTTGAGATGACAGCTGGGGGAAGAGGAAGAAACGAAGTCTAGTGACTCTGTTACCTCGGGAACGGAAGAGGATTCTGCGGCAGAAAAGGGTGCAGGACCTGCCAGAGTGGTATACGATTTCAGAGACAGGAAGCCGAAATAAAGGCAGAAGGACTTGGAAAATGGCCTTTTGAAGCGAAGAATAAGATGATGATCAGAGATTTCTCTCACACCAACTAACGAAATAACATATAAATAGCGAATTGTTATAAGCAAGAACTCTACAAGTATATTGTGACATTTACTCTAACAATACTAACATTTTAACTAACAGTGAAAAGATCTCCTTCTCTGGGGGTTTTAGATTAGTGTGGTTTGCTTTTCTTTCTCCTTAGATGTAGTCCCTTCCCTATTATTTCTTTGTAGTTTTCGAAGTTTTGCAAAATAAAAAATATCCCTCTGGGGATTTAAAAAAAGAAGAAGAAGAAGAAGAAGAAGAAGAAGCTAAGTGTGAGGAGGGAGGGGCAAGCAGTAAAAATGAAAGTGAAACCTTTTGAGCAGAAGACTCCACAAGTCTTTGGATCTTTGTGTGTGTAGCCTGAGGTTTATCATAGTATTCATTCCCTGACGGAGAAAACCTATAATGACAGCAGGCGGTAAAAAGAGACCCACTTTGGGAATATTTTAATGAAGTTCCTCTACCTATGGGCAAAGCAGGCATGCGTGAAAAATGCAAACAGTGCAACAAAGGAATGCAAGGCCTGGTAGCCCCAATGAAACAGCATTGTGAGAAGTGCTGTGATGAAGATGACAAAACGAACATGTTTGAACAGGCAGGATCTACAGGTTGGTAAACGTTTTGATTTCATCATATTTCTTAAAGGCTGCCTTGAGGAAGTGTCATGTTTAAGCAAAATTATATTTCTTATTATTACTGCATGTTACTGTCATTTTGATACAGTTGTTATAAAGAAAGAAAGTTGCAAAGTTCCTTTTTGGGGCAAATATTCCTTTTTGGGGCAGTACTTGAGTGGCAGTGAATACAGTGAGTAATACTAAATAAGCAGAAATGGTATAAATAATAAAATAACAGCACTGACTTTTTTTGTTTAGGGGAATCCATCATCAACATAAAGGATTTTGGAAGCTATCCTCCTTCAAGATCACCATTCACCTATTCTACAGTTTCAGAGTTATCCTTCCAGGATAGTGTTTCAGCCACATCATGTACATCACACATCCACAGTCTATCACCTAAAAGAAAGAAAAAAGGCCGACCATCCAGGAGCCACCATAGATAAGTCTGATAAAAAACAGCAGATTAGAAAAAGAGTTAATTGATTACAAAAAATGCCCAGTTCGTTTACGCGACAAACTCTTCTTTCCATCTGATTGAAAACCCACACTTCATTAATGTGGTTCAGTCACTGAGACCAGGATACAGTTTACCCAGCAGATGTTGCAGGGAAACTGTTGGAAACTGTTGGATAAAGTGTACAACAGAGAAATGGAGCAATGTGCAAGAGCTCTAGAGGGTAAAATTGTTAACCTAAGCCTTGAGGGGTGGAGTAATGTCCACAATGATCCTGTTGTATGTGCTTGTATAACGACAGAAGAAGGGGATGTCTTCCTTGAAGAAACAATTAATACGTCAGGAAATGCACACGCAGCAGAATACTTACAAGAAGCGGCAGTGAAAGCTGTAACAACATGTGAACAAAAATTCAAATGTCTAGTACGCAGTTTGGTCACAGACAATGCTGCAAATGTATCAAAGATGAGAAGAAATTTAGAAAACCAGGAAGGGAATGCAAAGTTAATAACATATGGTTGCCGTCGTCATTTGCTGCACCTCCTATCCAAAGACTTCAGTGTTCCAGAAATAAAGACCAATGTCACTGAAATTGCTAAATACTTCCGTAACAATCATTTTGCAGCAGCAGCTCTGAGAAGAATGGGTGGAACCAAGCTAACGCTCCGATAGGATATTAGATGGAACTCTGTAGTGGACTGTTTGGAGCAGTATATCTAGAACTGACCTATTCCGATGACAGTTTGTGAACAAAGTCAAGAGAAAATAGATGGCACGGTCACAGCCAAAATCCTCAACATTGGGCTTAAGAGAAATGTTGAACATATGTTGAGTGTCCTGAAACCCATTTCTGAAGCGATAGACAAAATACAGAAAAATAGCTGTTTTACTGCTGATGCTGTTGAAATTTGGAAGGAACTGAGTGAGCACTTAAAAACAGAACTACACACTGACATAATCAAATTACAAGCGTTAAAAAAAACAAAAAAACAAATGCGATGAGCACTGTCTCCAGCTCATTTTCTTGCAAATATTGTCACTATCCGGTACCAGGGTCAAACCTTAAATGCTGCGGAAGAGGAGTTAGCTATGACATGGGTATCTAAGCAATTGTCCATCTGCAATGCCAACTACAATAAACTTCAGAGCTAAGGGGGGAACCATTCATCAAGAAATATATGTTTGCTGCTGATGTTTGAAAGAAAGTCACACCAGTGAACTGGTGGAAGTCACTTAAGCACTTGGAATTAGAGACTGTTGAAGTAATGATTTCACTTTTAACTGTAGTAGCTTCTTCTACTGGTATAGAAAGAATATTCTCTTCCTTTGGATTCATTAATTTTAAATTGAGAAATCGTCTGGGACCCGATAAAGCAGGAAAGCTTGTTTTTCTTTTCCAGATTATGAACAAACAAGAACATGAAGACGAGCGAGCCACAGAGAACATTATTTTAAGTTGTTCATGTGTGGACAGGACTGATAGTCTAAGTTGTTTTTTAAAAAAGATATTTTGTTTAACTACATCAGTTAACAAACATGGATGCTTAAGCAAATACAAGAATACATATGCTATAATGTTAGTGTTTTAGTTAAATAAAACTATTTTAATTGTTATTATTAAGGTAATGATTATTTTTCTCCTTCCAGTAAAGTACAGCAGAAAAGTTGCCCAACTATGAATGATTTAACCGATTAAACTAGAGATAGTTCACCTCGTAATAATTTCTTAATTATCTATCTATTATGTGTTTTTGAAAGTATAACCAAATCAGTAATTTTTTGTAAATATTAAGATTATACCGGCAAGAATGAGTCTTTATGTAGAAAACCATTATTTAAATCTAGTCTTAACTGACTAGTGATTTAAATTGATTTGATTTAAATCAAATCCACCCATAAACCATTGATACAGTTAATCACTCTGTTCTGATTTGTTTGGAGACTGGGGTGAGGGGGTGGCACTCCAGTGTTTTCAGCTCTGTTCTAGTGTTTTGGCCAAAAGTGCCTTTTACCAATTACGTCTGGTATGTAGATTGACTCTTTTTGTAGACATGGCTGACTTGGCAATGATGGACCATGCTATAGTAACCTTAAAGTTAGGTTATTGAAATGTGCTTTACATGCTGCTGCACTTAATCAGAAAACATTAGATACTCAAAATTAAGTCGCTCAGTTTGTAACAAGGGTACGTTGTAGTTTGCCGGGGTTCAAAGAAGACACGACACAAACAGCTTCTGCAGAAAGCTGACTGAATGAATGAATCCTCTCACTCACCAGCTATATTTATTGAAAATCTGTCTCCTCCTTTCCCCCTCCCTTTCATACATTACAGCATCCTGTCATGAGACATGAACTAAGAAATGTGTGTGTGTCTGTGTGTGTGTGTGTGTGTACAGGCAGCTGTCTGCTATCTCTCCCTCGCAACTCTGCCAAGGCCAAATGACTGCGTCATTAAGCAGTAAACAGATTCCATCTCAGGCTCTCAGTACGTATATACATTTGGGTTTCCAATCTCCAGCCAGGAGAACAGTGATCTCCATGCAGGAACAATGTTAACACTCCCAGGCCTGCCTCTCAAGAGCAGACATTGCTCCTACAGTACGTCCTTGTCACTGTATGACCATCAGTCTTGGAACATCTTCAGTAGTTGCCAGTGTGTCTCTGGGTTCAGTTTAAGGGTCTGTTTTGTTTGTCTTGTGTGAGTTGTGTAGAGATTTTATTCAGATGTGCTGTCTGTGGAGATTGCTGCTAGTCACGAGTAGACTGCAACTGCTGGGAATTGTATTTCTGTCAGGGAAAGAATCTTGCAGGCATTTGTGGGGGGGGTGTCTTCAGAAGATGGATGTCATGTCCTAATAAAATGATGCTGTTGACAGCAGGAACTACTCCAGTCTGTTGATAGTAAATAGTATGTATACGTGGGTGACTCTCAAGTGAAGGATTGTGACTCAAGAAAGGTTGGTCTTCTCTGCGTTTTGTTCTTCAGTACAAGGATTCTGACCAGACCTCCCATCTGTTTCTTCTTTCTGCAGGTCTTCGCGTTAATGGGGAATTCATCACCGCTTACCCACAGGTAGTTGTGGTTCGCGTGCCAACACCATGGGTCCAGAGCGACAGCGACATTACAGTTCTTCGCCATCTAGAGAAGATGGGCTGCCGGCTGATGAACCGCCCCCAGGCCATACTCAATTGTGTCAACAAGTTTTGGACTTTTCAAGAACTGGCTGGCCATGGTGTGCCTCTTCCTGATACTTTCTCCTATGGTAAGCTCTCTGAGCTGAATGAATGGACGTTGTGATCCATAGCAACTAGGCACTTGCAGATAGTGAGTTGGTAATTAACAGTTTGGGAAGTTATTTAAAAATAATTAGCCAGTCTTTCTTTTCTTTTTCTTTTTTTTAATACATTTATTTATTGGATTTTCACTTAATAGATATACAAACATAAATCACCATAATCTTCTAAATCAATACCTCACCTTACTAACAATTTGGTTACACACAATCAATATATAGATTCTCTCTGGTCTTATATTGACCAACTATGATTCCACGATATATTCCTCATATTCCCAATCTTTCTGGTCTTAATAGTTCATACCTACCCTATTTACTTTCCTATCTTACTCATTTTCCTTGACTATATATCTGTATATCAGATTAACTTACATTCCATATCCATTCAGTTAGACTTTTCCCTTCTATATACCAAAATAACTTTTATTAAATTCAGTTTACTTTAACTCAACTATTCACCTCTTATTTTCAACATCATATTTATCTCTAAGTATCATTCCAAGATATTTCTTAACAATAAACTAATAAATAATAAAGCTTTTAATCATTCTATTAATAGTTATGCCCCTCTTACCCACATTTCATTCTATCCTACTTTTATAATCATGTACTTTCACAAAAATAACTTTTTTTTAACCATAACACAAGCCAGATTAGCTCATATTAAATATTAATTTTGCAACTTTTAATAAATTCATTTCCCTTATTCAAATACACCTTAAGCCCCTCCCTTCTATTTACACTTGGGGTTCCTTACTAAGTACTAACGCATTTACCATTCCAAACATAATTCATATGATAAACTAATAAATAAAAAACATTTGGATCACTCTATTATAAGTAATACCTTTCTTACTCACAATAGATTCTATTCTGGTTTACATTTACAATAACATAAGGTGCAATTATTTCATTTCCACAAAACATTTAAGGCATTTACATTTACAGTAACGTAAGGTGCAATTATAAACCTACTTTATCACAAAACCTCACTCTTAAGGCATTTAATCATGGGTCTTAGGGCTATTACCACAAATATCAGTCCTATCTCACTATTTTACTCAGCTGTTTTGTAGTCAACATTCGCACGAAAAAAAAAGAAAAGGAACCAAAAGGAGAGTTAATTTTTTACAATACCCGTCCTTGCCCCAACTCTATATTTCAATTCTTTTTTTCCCTGATTTCTTCCGTTCTCTTCTACATGCCGTTGATCTTTAAACTCCTGTGTCTTTATTTCCTTAATGACTTCTCCATGATTCCTTGTAATTAATTGTATGGGCACACTGTATTTCTTTAGTCCGTTCTTTACTTTTTTCTTTCTTGTTTGTCTCTTCCCTTTTCTTTTGAGTAAGGTCGGGAAATAAATTTTCCTTACTGCTGTTTTTAATATTCCTTGTCCCTCCATGAATCCTTCAGCAGTATCTAACTTCTGTAACAATTCTTCTGTATGTTCAGTCTGTTCGCCATATATTTCTCTCTCCTGTTCCGTTTCCAGCACTTCATCTTTCCTTTGATTTTCCTGTATATTTCCCTTGTCTTCCTTAAGCTCTAGCAGTTCATTACGAGGGTTTCTCAACAAGTTTTCACATGTTGTTTTAAACATCTGTTTCATTTCTTCTAAGAAATATTTTTGAAAGTTTTCCCATTGTTCCCTCGTAACATCACAGAGTTTTATATCTCCATCTATTTCTAGTCTCTTGTCTAGCACCTCCATTTTTTCCAGTTTAGTCAGCTTCCTATATCACATTAACTTTTAACTTTTAGTGGGTAGTACTAAGCGTTTTATCTTACCCTTCGCAAGTCCCGTAACTTTTATTTCCCGATCAAATTCCGCGGCCATTTTCTTCACGCTCAGGGGAAAACCATACTGGGTACATAGTCCTTTTTACTCGACCAAATATGCGTAAAAACCAGTTTTTCAAGTGAGGTATCGAATCCATCAAGTAGCAACAATGAAAAAAAAAGGTTTAAAAACCGGAGGCTGCGTCTAGGTCAAACATGGCGGCCATGTTTTCCCCTGTTATCGCTCCTGCTTCGGGGCAAAACCGGTCACCCCCCCGCAACTGCCAGGTCACGGAAGGGGCCAGAACAAAGCCCCCTGCTCCTGCACTCTGTCAGAGAGTGCGGGTCGGACTCTCCCCATTCCTGGGGAGCCCGAAAAAAGCAATAACGGGTCGGGTGGCTCGGAGCCCATCGAGCTCCCGCCCGCCCGTCGTCGCGCCGTAACCGGAAGTCTTAGCCAGTCTTTCTTAAAGGGTTGCAGAGCTTGTGCTTCTGGCCCATGAAAGTTGATGCCTTAATAAATCCCTTATCTTCCGCTTCTAAAATTAAGCCCACAAAAGTGTAATTGAGAAGACCACATATTATCTGCCTCTTAATCCTTGCATCCCATGGTCATTTTGTTGTCTTCCTTATCTCAGATTTTAGTCTGTGAGCTCCTCCAGGTAAGAACTCCTTGTCTTGTACAGCTGGGAACCATAGAGCTCTATATATGTAATAATAAACAAATTCCGGGTTAGACAGATCTTTCAGTGGTCCACTAGATGAATTCTTTGCTTTCAAATCTACATTTCTTTTAAAGACTTGATTATGGATAAAATACACAACTTGTTTGATCATTGCTTGATTCATAAAAGCGTAACAGCAGCGTGTTTTTCATAATGGGAATTGACAGTCAAACCTCTTCTGTATAGATTAATGGGCAGAAAAATCATCCCTATTTGGTGCATCATCTAGGGTGACCCATCTCTCTTGGTTCCATCTCCCAGTTTGGTGTAGTGGTTAGGAGTGTGGACTCTGATCTGGGAGAATCAGGTTCGATTCCCCACTACTCCACATACAGACCTTGGGTCAGTCACAAGTTCTTTCAGAGCTGTTCTCTCACTAGCAGTTCTCGAAAGAGCTCTCTCAGCCCCACCTACCTCGCAGGGTGTCTGTTGTGGGGAGGGGAAGGGAAAGGAGATTGTAGGCCGCTCTGAGACTCCCTCTGGTAGCGAAGGGCGGGGTATAAATCCAATCTCCTCGTCCTCCTCTGTCGTCTTCTTCCCTCATCCTCAGCAAGCCAGCTTATGCTGCTTTCACTTGAAGAGAGAAGGACACTTGGAGATATGTGTGCACTCTACCCTTATGAACCTCTGTGAGAGGTGTCACTCACTTTCCCAGGGAGATGGAAATAGGGATCTTCTTCGTGGTCTCTGTGCTTCAGACCCTGGGATATAGTGCGCCTTTGCCGACCCCGATTGGTATTGTAGAAAGCTAAAGGGATTTTCACGCCCGCTCCCCCTGTCATGTGCCAGGCTCAGTGCGCATGACTTAGGGGAGGGGCACGACTATCCCGCCAGTTCTCTTCTGACCGCCGCGCTGGTAGGACCTTCTACACCTCGGTCGGTAAAAAGGACTTTGGCTTCGGCCTCCTCTCCCTTTCTAAAATTTGTAGTTAGCTAGTTTTTAGTTGTAGTTTAGTTAGGAATTTCTTTCTTTGCTGTCTGCTTCGGTAGATGTTTTTTCTGCCACCCCCCCTTTTTTCCGGCCTGTGGCCAAACGTTGGGGTTTCTTTTGGCAGTGCTGGAAGTGTAGCAGTAAGATTGCCCCCCCCCCCCAGATGGACAGTCCCTTTGTTTATTGTGCCTGGGAGAATCGCTCTGAGTTGGCTCCTGCGCCCACTGTGCCAAATTCTCTCAGCAAACGGGGAAGAATCGGGCGGCTAGACTTCATGTGGCGCTACTTGAACGGGCTCTTTTACCTATGGCGTCATCGCAGGAGACATCGGGACACGCCTCTATGTCGACCCCAGTGTCGGGGTCGATGCATGAACGGTCTCTGATGCCGAGCCCACCTGATGCCGATCGCTCGGTGCTGAAGCGCCCGATCCCGGCTTCGCAGTCCGCAGGCCATACACCCGCAAAGAAAACGCGGGTGGGCAAGGACGATCAGCCTGTCAAGCACAAGCAGCATAAGAAGGGCTCTTCTGCCAAGACTCAGACACCCCAACGCCGGACGGTGGGGGTGAATACAGATGCAGCCACTTCGCTTGGCTTCCCAGGCCGTGGGCAGGTACAGGGTGCACCTTCTTCACCCTCCTTATGCTCCACCCAGCTCACTGAGCATGATATGGACATGACGCAAATCTCCCAGTCTTCAGAGTCTACACTCGGACCAGGGAGTGGATAGGGTTCACCCGCCCCAGCAGGACTCTGATGATCGGGATCGATCTCCCGGACAGTTTCAACTGCCCTCCTGGGACCAATGCCAGTGGCAATACTTGTATGGGACGTACCCGTTCCCTGGTGGCATGCCCCGGCTTCCTCCGCGACCACCCATAGAATGGGACCGACAGTCTACTTCATCCAGGCTGTCTCGGTATCGAGAAGTTCCTCCGACACCAGAGTTCGCGAAACCGCAACTTTCGGTACCGATGAACAAGCTGCGCAAAACTGCACCGTCGATACCGACACATTCCATGGACCAGTCGGAACCGATATAATCGACACCGATTCGCCCGGCACCGTTCTCTGACCTTTCAGAGCATTCTGGCTCCTCTCAGGGTTCCCATTCTGGTGGTGAGGATGTTCCCGTTCAACTTGATTGAACAGTCCCCTCCCCAACAGGTGGAGGACGATCTTCCTGTCTCTCCGTCGGAGGACATTAAGTCTTATGGGGACTTTGTCAAAGGAATGGCCAACACACTGGCACTTCCGACTATCCAACCTTTACCCGTCGTTACCGACTCCGTCTTCGACATCGTCCAAATGGACACATCGACTGCGATCGCCCTACCTATGACGTCTGCCCTTTTGCAAACGGCTAAAGCCCCCTGGGGGTCTCTGCCTCTGTTCCCATCTTCAACAGAAGGATGGACCACATGTATAAAATGCAGGAAACGGGAGCTGAATTTTTGTTCATTCATCCTAAGCCTAATTCAGTGATCATCACCTCCTTGTCAAAGGGGAAATGCAGCCACTTCACCC